AAAGGAATATAAATTTATAGTGAAATTTTTAAATTCTTCTAAATTTCCAAAAAAAAAGAAATTTAAAAAATTTGATTATAAGAAAAGCTTTGTCTTTTTTTTTTTATTTAATTTATTTTTGTCTTAACTATTTTTTTTATTTTTGTATTTAATACTCTTTTGTCTTTTTTACCATTACGATATATTATTTAAACTTGTACAAAGGGATTCTATGAAAAGAATGCGATCCTTATCTTCTTTGAGCCTCTATCTGCTTTACTCAATTTTGTTGTAAGTCCAGTACATACTTTTATATTTTATTTAATGGTGTCTATATGCGTACGTACGATGTAAAAGTATTAAAAAAAAAAAAAAGTTAGTACATACATATCAAACAAATGCCCTAAAGAGTTCACCCCCGACCCCTAATATGAGAACAATAAACTAATAGATATTTTTACTATATTACATTAAATTTAAATTCATCAACAGGTTTTAAATTTTATCAAGTAATTGTTTATAGACCAAAGATAAAGATTTTCTTTTCAATATAAGGAACCTTTGAATTTTAAACTGTCGTAACTTTTGAGCTCTCAAAGATTATTATATGGGATTATTAAGTATTATTAAGTATTGGATAGTAAAAAGTAATATTTTTTTAACTTCTAGATATGGTGTTTAAGGCAAACTCTTTTTGGTATTTTTATTTTGATTTGACGTTAGCATAAACATACTTGAGTTTGGAATTTGTAAAATATCTGAATATGTTGTATCTGAACACAAAAAAATCCAATTAGCGCCACTGTACACCGCACAGTGGGAAATCACATAGCCAAAAATCAAAAAAGTGACTTAGTTCAATCATTATGTCTGATGGTGGGTTTTGTTACTAATACCCTCACTAAGAATTTTTCAATTTATGAAATTCTAAATGTGTTAGGCTCAACGGTAGTGGTTTCTTGAAGTTAGGTTTTTAATAAATTTTCGATAAAAACTCTCAAGATGCTGGGTTTTAGTAATTACTGTTTTTTTAATATATAGATCATTGAAAAATTGAGAATATACACATCATTGGAAAGGTTACAGTATAGACTGTTAAAAAAAAAAAAAAAATTCTTAAATAAGTTGGTAGTACAATTTTTAGCATCGAAATTAAAAATTTCATCACAAAAATACTAAATTTTAACTTTGATGAAGAATTTAAAAATTGTTTCAATTTGTACCTTTACCATATTTTGATATTTTTTAGTCTATAGTGTCTACTAACTACCCTGAGAAGTGTAGCTGCGATCATCCGCAATTTTTTAGCGCTAAATAAATTTTGAAAAATTGATGTTTTTTTTTAAACAAATTAAAAACTTCTTTAAATAAATATTTTTTTTTTCATTCATTACAAAAAGTAAAAAAAAAAAAACTACTTTAAGGCAAAAACTACTTTAAGACCAAAGTAAATTTGTTTTTGTGTTGTTATTAAAAGGAAAAAAATTATTTTTTATTTTATTTTCACTAGTTTATGGTTTTAAAATACATAACTAATTTAAGAAAAAATAATTCTAAAGTGCCTTTTTAATGTCCCGCTAATCGACCAAAAACTACATGAATTTCTAAATGTTGTTAAAACCTTCTTTTTACTCTGCAAGTTTATTGTTGTGAACTAAAATAATGGAGGGAGTCAATTTAATGTTTATATAATTTTATATTATGTTTTCAGGTTTCGAAAAATACTATTGAAAATGTAAAAAATGGGTTTAAATACATTGTTACTAGGATTCAAGTCAGAGAAGACAAAACAAATGTATTAAGAAAGAGATTTAAACTAACTCTTGCAAAGTATGTTGCACTATGGCATGCATCATATCAAAAAAAAAAAAGAAATTCTAGATAGTATGATTCAAGTTAGGCTTAAGTAATTTTTTTAAAACAATTGATTTAGTTGAATCACCAAGTAATCAAAAGAGTTTAATAAATCAATCAGCAAAAGAGGTCGACCAAGAAAAAGGCCTGATGAATCAAGTTCTCGAACCAAAAGACGATTTATAGCAAATATATCATTTGATTCAAAAACGGAATCCATCAAAATATTGTTAGTGGCTCAAAGAACAGCATTTAACAAACGTGACTGTAATTAAGTCAAATTACTTAGTGTCGTTACAAAGAAAGCTTTACGAATCTTTATTGCTTTACTCTCAGCTAACCACATTGCAAGAGAAAATGACGTCTGAAGAAGCTTTTGTATATTTCGTCGATAACAAACTTTCAAGAAGTATTTATGAAAATACCCATAAAGAACCACCATGCAGATTTCTATCTAGTCGAGTAACTTCTAAAATAAAAAACGAGTGCTCACCTTTAAAAACATCCAATGAAGTTACTGAAACAAAGGCCAAGATTAAACTACAGGATCTTATGTATCACACATCCAAGTGGCTTGCGAAACTACAGGAAAAGAAAACTTTAAATAATTGGATTGTAAATTTAATATGATCATAACTTTCAGAAAATAAAAGATTATTCGATGAAAGTTGAAACCTGTCAACGAATTTAAGTTTAGTGTAAGATAGTGGCAAAAATCTTTTTTTGGACTCATTGCCCTCATATTTAGGTGCGACAGGATATTACTTTTTGGGGTATTTTTGATCTCGGGCTACAATCACCGCAACTTTTTTGCAAACCATTATACTTTGATTTAAGCATGAACATAGCAAGTTTGGATCCGAGGAAAATCATCCATTATTTAAACAATGTCTAAAAGTATCACATATAAAAAATCTTATTGGTGAGCCACTACTTAAGTGGATTTCCCCAGCCTCTTTGATGCTCCTATAAGCAAGTTAAACACAAAAATAAAAATTATTATATTAAGTCTCTATTTTACTCAAAAAAAGCCTTAATATCCACATAAATACAACGATTATTTTTTTGGCTACATATTTCAATGGAATATTCCCACTGTGCACCGGTCAGAGTACTCAAATCACAATTTCGATAAAAGAAATGGATTGCTTGAGTACAACAAACTACTTGAGTCCAAGAACCTATGACTAGATGTATAGGGTAGATTAGGGTAATATGAGCACCTTGGTAATATGAGCACCTTGCTAATATGAGCACCTTGGTAATATGAGCACCTTGGTAATATGAGCATACTTAAAGATTTATTAGATGTAAGCAGTGAAGTTAAAGTTGCTTTATGTTTTTCGAATTGACTTTATGTGGTAATAACAGGAATCAGTACAATTAGCGTAAATTTATACGCAGTAATTAGCGGATATCATCTAATTAAAACGCTTTTATATTTTTTGCTTTGTTAAAAAAAATCATCACGCGTGAATAATTTTGTGGCGCGATATTTTGGTGCTAAAATTATGAAATTAATTTTTTCATAAAGAAAAATATATTAGCTAAAAATCCAATTCATTTTTGTTTAAATAATAATGCATAGAAACATTTATTTTTGACTTTATTTAAAGATAACATTTTTGTGTAATATGAGCATGCTCAATTACCCAGTGCAATGAGCATGAGTGTAATATGAGCATGCTGATTACCCAGTGCTTTTCATTGAAATTGCTTAGTTTAAAGTCCTAAAATAGCAGTGGTTTTTAATTGCTTCTTGAATAAAAACAAAACATAGTAAAAAATTTTAATATATAAACAATACTAAATATTTTTCTGTAACTTAAATTTAAAAAATTTTAATTTTTATTGTTCAAAGGTTTGAGTTAACAAAATTGAAAAAACAATGTATAATTTTTTTTTTTTGGCGGAAAACATAGTAGTATTGTTTCAACAAAATGTAGCTTAAAATTTGATCTTTTAATGATTACCAAGGGGTCAGGGTAATACGAGCACTTTTTCTACTTATTTAAAACCTCTGTGTTTTTAAGAAAAAATGTCAAGTACCCAAATATCTAAATAGATTATGAATAGAGATCCCTAAAAATTGTTTATTTGCAAAAATTTTGGATCCAGCATATGTATTTTTGAAAATAATCCAATTTTTGCTTCAGGTGCTCATATTACCCTAATCTACCCTAATATTACTGCTTCCCATTTTTTGCTAACTTTTGATATGTTCTGACCATTACGCATTGGTTTGCTACCAAATTATACAAATCTGACTTAACTGTTAAATGTTGCAATTTTCAGACCTATTAAATCAGGATAAAGACTTTGAACCATCTGAAAAAAGATTTTAAACAAAAAAAATTATTTTTTATTTTTATTCTTTATATTCTTGATTCAGGCGTTGCGAGTGGGTTTATTTGAGTGTCAGGATCAAATTTAAGGATTAGAATTAATCATTGAGTTAGGCGAACCTGACCGTTGTCTTAAACTTATTCGGACCAGCTATGACCTTAAATCTAATCCTAATCATGACCCTTATCACAATAAACTTTGCCTTCACTTTTAAAGCATACCTTTAAACCATTTATGTCGTTATAAACGCGAATAATCGCAGCAAAGTTGTTAGTATTACTTTACGTCTTTATGTCGACGTCTATTTTAGCCATGTGTGCTCATCAATAAGGAAGGCAACTTATGTTGACTTGAAGACTTTCAGAGTTTATTGCTCTTGCTCGGTGCTCTGTGGTCTTCGTTAGGTCCGTTAGGACCGTTAGGTCTTCTTAAAGCAAAATAATTTGTGCAGTAGAGTATAAAATTGTGTGCCCGCGTGCAGTAAAACAAAAAGTTACGTGAAAGTGTGCATACTAAGAAAAAATGTCTTTTCTTTTATGCATATTTTAGTTTGGTATTTTTCTTATATACTGTCTAGCAAATTAACGTTGTTTTTCTTGAAAGAAAAAGTATGAAAAAGTTATAAAAGAGTTGCGCAATTTAATTATTATCTGATATTTAAACGTTATGTATAACTGATCAGATTGCTTTACTGAACAATTGCTAAGTAAACCAATTTGGTTAGATTACGATTAGCATTGTTCAAACTTTTATTTTATTCAAAACTAAATAAATCTAACAATTTAAGCCAAAACTCAAACAATGGAATCCCCCTGTGAACAGATTTTCACAGCATATGACATTGTAATAAAAAAATAACATTAAAAAAAAACCTCGCAGTTTTTATATAGAAGTTATCACTCAGTCCATATTTAAGTTGACGATATTCAGCAAACTAACACCGGAAATTAAACACTTACAAAGTAAATTTTATAATATTAATTATATTTATATAATTATATTATGTATAATCTTTCTAATATTAATTAAATATTATTTGTTGTAACAAATACTATTCAGAAATATTCAGAAATCAAAACTATTTAATCCTACAAAAGTTGAATATTTTTTTCAATAAAATACTTAGTATAATGCAATTAAACTTAATTTAACAGATTTCCAAGAATTCAACTCGAAGTTATAAATAAACACTCAAAAATAACAAGTTAAACAATAGAATCTATCAAAAACAACTTACGTTTCACCAATGATTATGCACAATTTTTAAAGAACAATAAGGAACAGCATAACCAATGGTTAACAAAGTTTTACTCTGTCGTATTAATAAATAAAAAGTCAAGAACTTAAGTTATATTGAGAAATACTACGTATTGTATTGTATTGCGAAATATAAAAATGTCTTAGTTGTTAAAAAGTAGTTAAATTTTTTTATTCCGTGATTTTTGGTTGAAATGAATGAAACAGAGCATAAAAATGAAACTATATGTATATTTGAACAACCATACAAAGTAACGTTAATTTTTCTTCTAAGCTCAACTTCTGTTGTAGCAATTATTGAAAATGTTTTTTTTTTGTTTTGCTGTTTACTTCAATAAAAACCTTCACTCAAGATCAAATATTTTAGTTGTAAGTTTAGCTGTTACAGATATAATTATAGCCGCTATTTTGCCTAACCTTGAATCCGCCTATTTATACTTTTATCCATCATGGCCTATTGGTAGTCTGGGAACGAGTGCTCTTAATTTAATATGGGTTTTTTCACTTGTTTGCCCGTTCGTTACAGTAACAGCTATAACGATTGAACGTTATGTTATGATTGCGGGAAAATCAAGTTGGAAAGTCTTTTTCACAAAAAGAATATATATGGTGATTGTTATTTTTATTTGGCTTTATTCTTTCATCTGTTGTTTAGTTACAGCTGTTACTATGGAACCAGCACATAAAAATAAATATATTTGGAACGTGAATCAAACTCTTTACTATATTCTACTCGGCTTTCATATTATAATTCCTTTGTTGTTATTACCTGGGCTTTATTATAAAATGAAAAACGTTTCCCAATATTCTCTTAAAAAGCTAATGAAAGAAAAAGAAAATGACGTCAATCTACACAGGCAAAGAAAAGAAATGAAACTAGCAAAGACAATTTTCATTATTATAGGAGTCATGTATTTAGTATGGTCCCCAGTAGTAATTATAGAAATTTTGTATAACCTTGAGTTTAAAGTGTGTGTTATTTCAAAAATTGGAGTGATCAGTTTATGGTTAACATGCATAAATGGATGTCTAAACCCTTTGGTTTACTCCTACAGAAATGCAGAAGTAAAAAGGTTTGCAAAAAACGCAATTAAACTTATTGTAAGATATTCGTAATAATGAAATAAAAAACCTATTAATTTTATATTTTGTATTTTTATCACAAATTTATGAATTTATATATATTTTAATATACAGTTCTGAAAACAATCGAACACTTCTATAAAATTCATTTTGACAAATTTTTAATATACAAAACAATATTAAAGATCAGATTTCATTCGTTGTGTACAGCTTTAAGCAAATGTTTTTATTTTTAGAAGCATGATTGTCTATATATATATATATATATATATATATATATATATATATATATATATATATATATATATTTATATATTTATATATATGTATCCCAGACAGCAAGCTTGAATTGGTCAAATATAAGTTTTAACATTGGCAACTTTATTCTGTTGGGCCAACATTTAGCTAATGTTTTTTTTCGACGTAATATTTTAATTATCCAAATCTGTTTTTTGGAAATATCGTAGTATGTTGGACCAACAATTGTCCAATGTAGTCAATATTTTTCAATATTTTTTCGGTTCAATTTTTTCCTACAAAAATCTTATGCTGTAGTTCTGTTGAATTTTCGGCCAATTTATTTGTGGATCATTTTTTTGATATATTTTCAAAACTTGTTGCATAACATTTTAAAAAAATGGTATTGTTTTACAAAATAAAGAAATGTTTTGATATTAACTTTTCATTTTTTCAAATTAGAAAATAAACAAAATAGGCTATATTTATTAATCTTCAAAGAATCTTAGAAGGTTATCTCATAAGAAGTCAAATTCATGAGGATAATGCAGGGGCGCCGCCAGCATTTTTTGGTCTTTGAGATAGCTAACTTCCAGACATGGAGCAAACTCCAAACATTTATATATTTATACTTATGTCAAATAAGGATGCTTTGCAAAAAATTGCGATGATTGGAGCTAGGGAACAATAAAGCCCTTAATGTTTGTAAAAATAATATTTGTACTATTTTCAACTAGATTTATAATTATCGATAAATTTTAAGTTTCAAAAAACTTTTAAGTTTTAAAAATATACCACTAAAATGATCTGCAACTACATTGGCCGAATATTGGCTCAACAGTGCTACAGCATTAGTGTAAAAACTATTTATATATATATGTATGTATTTATGTATGTATGAATGCATATATGTATGTATCTGGATATGTGCACGTTTATATGTGCGTATGTGTATATGTGTGTACCTTTGTACGTGTATGTGCATATTCATAAACCTTTATACCAGAAGAATAGCATTGTACAAATATATCACAGAAGAGTTAACATTATTACAGACGAAGGAAGAATATGATATTACATTACAAGTATTTAATTAATATTTATCAATACAATAAAGATCAATATTATAAAACGAAAAAAGTAACATCTTAATTAATTATACTTTACTGTTGACCTTGTACATATACTTGAAAGAAAAAAAAAACATGCAACTCATGGAGAAATTAGTCGTAGACATAGAAAATGAAGTAGAAAAACTCAATTGAAATATCAAGTGATTATTGAATGAAGATTACTTGACCATATTTTTTGATTTTAAGAAAGTGAAATTTATCTAAAAATCACAGATAAAAGTTGCATGAGACAGTCGTTTGGAAGGCTGTGTAGTTTCGTTGCAAGCACCTTTAAGCAAGTAACTTAAAACTATTACGAAAGAAATGTCTAAGTTCAACAGTGTTTCTTTTTGAAAAGACCTTAAGGTCTTTTCAGAGTGTCGGCGTTCTTTTAATTTTTCAAGTGTAATTTTTCTCTTTAATATTGGTATCTTAAACGTTTATTTTTTAAATCATGTAATCAAGAACGAAAAAATAAAAAATTAAACAAATTCGGACGCTGTTTTTTATTCAAAAATTAGACAATTTTGGACGCTTTTAGTTGGCAGTCGGTAAAAGTCAGCCAACGAGGAATTTTTTTTTTTTAAGCGTATGCATAGTTAATTCATAGATTTTATCGGTTATTTTTCGTTTTAATGATTTTTAAACTTTTTTCTTTCAGATTCTTATTCACAGATTTTCATATTATGGTTATGGTTTTGTTTTAAAACGAAACCAAAAGAAAGTTTTAAAAAGCGTTTTAAAACGAAACCAAAAGAAAGTTTCGTTTTAAAATGAAACCAAAAGAAAACTTAAAAAGTTTAAAAATCATCAAACTTGATGATTTTTAAACTTTTTAAATAATTTTTCTTTTGGTTTCATAAACATTATATATAATAATGTTTATAAAAAATATTTATAACTATGTTAAACATTTATGATAATTTAACTTATCAATTTAATCAAAATAAAAAAATGTTTTTTTGTTTTCATAATCATTAGTTACAATCAGGGCCGCCGTTGGTAGTCGAAATTTGCCGACTGGCTATCCAAATTTATCTAAAAGAGTCAAATTTGCCGACCAAATGTCGTTCATTTGGTTCATTTGACAAATGAACAAAAAAATAATTGATTGGGGGAGGGGGGCACACACAAACACCCATCGCGCTGGCATTGTTTACAATAATGTATATGTAATCAAAACGTATTTTTAGCATAAAATACCGTTTTTAGCATCTTATTTAGTTCAAAAAAAAATTCCAAATCTAAATCAAATAATATTATTCACTACTCTCTTTGTATTTACTGTTGATTCGTTATGATTTCGGTATAAGTTTGTGTTTTTCATACTTTTTGTAGAAACGCGTACTCCATATATAAACGTGTATGAAATTATGAGCGTTTATGAACATATATGAAGAGTATGAACAACTTTAGTGTTGACATCGTGCTTAAGTGTGCATGTTATGTTAATAAGAAAACAAATTAAACTCAAGTAATGAACCCAGGATTTTAAACGCAATATTTAAAGATTTCACTGAACTTATTTTTTATTTAGTGATTTACATTTACAAGATAAGAAAATAAGATTAGTTACAAGATAAGTTTCCTAATTCAAATAATTAATGAAAATAAAAAAATTACAAGATAAGAAAATAAGATTAGTTACAAGATAAGTTTCCTAATTCAAATAATTAATGTAAAAAAAATTTACAAGATAAGAAATTAAGATTAGTTACAAGATAAGTTTCCTAATTCAAATAAAAATGAAAAAAAAAAAAGTTTACAAGATAAGAAAATATAATTAGTTACAAAATAAGTTTCCTAATTCAAATAATTAATGAAAAAAAAAATTTACAAGATAGAAAATAAGATTAGTTACAAGATAACTTTCCTAATTCAAATAATTAATGAAAATGAGTGCGACATATACCAAATTAAATGTATTGCTAACCTAATTAGAAAAAAACGGATCATAAAAAACTTAAAAATTCAATCAGATTCTGTTAACCTTCTAATGTATTATTATAGTGGATATTATAGCGGATATTATAGCGGACCATCTCTATCCCCAAATTTTAGTAAAATATTTTGGGGATAATTATTATTATATTACAAATCAATGACATTATTAAAAAAAAAAAAAAAAACTTGATATTCGGAGTAATTTATACTTCGAAGTTATTTATAAATTGTTCGAATTCTAGATTTTGGATTTCAAGTTGATTAACGCGTTTCTTCTTAACAATACCATTAATGTTTTTCTTATTTTTTATAAATTTTAAAAACATAAAATCTTAAAAACATTATTTCCGAGTTTTTAGGTTGATATCGTTCATTACCATTACTAGAACATCGTGTTTATTTGTTTTATTTATTTTTATTTTTTTTATTTTTTTTTGTTCTTTTCTTGAATATTCAATATAGTTATACAATAAGATAGTTAAGATAAAAATCGTTATACAATAAAAGAAAATATATACAAAAAAGAAAGAACGCGGAGACTCGCAGAAGACCTTCAGGTCTTATCATCGAGAACCGCTCGTGAATATTAAGTACATTAAATTAACATGAAGTATAAAATCTAAACAATGTCGTATTAAAAATTAGCGAGAACGTAAATTTCGTAATAATATATAAATAAAATTGGAATAAAGAATTTGTTGATACTCTTATATATAAATACAAAAATATTTTAAAAAGTACTGTTTTCACAAACACATAAGTTATGGATCAGATATAATATTTATATATTACCTTATGTAATAAACTTCATATTCATTTTTAAAAGAATTTAAAAATATAAAAAAATGTCTTCAAAAGACAAAACAATTTCTTTTAGTTTTTTCTTGAATGAAAGATAATTCCATTCATGGGAAAAATCAAAATTTTTTAAAACTATTTTGTTCCATAGAAAAGCTCCTCGATATGAAATACATGACTTTCCAAAATTAGTTAAAGATAAAGGTTGCTGAATTTGATTATCATTTCTTAAGTTATATTTATTTTTATCTTTTAAGGTATATAGATTATGAAAAGAAACTGGAGATTTGTTGGTTTTACACTTGAACATAAAACAAAGTATATTAAAAATATTTAGCTGATAAATATTAAGAATTTTCATTTGAAATAATAATGGTTTGGCATGAGCAAATCGATCTTTATAATTGATAAGCCGAGCAACATGCTTCTGCTGACGATAAAGAGGTAGCAGTTTAGATTTATTGGTATTACCCCAAGCAATATTTGCATAATGTGCATTAATCCTTATACGATTAGTCTGATTCTGTTGTATATTAGACTAAATATATTTGTCAAAATACAAAATTGCATTAAAATTTCATACAAAATTTATGGATACCGATCAAGAAAGAGCTTATACCTAAGAAAAACTGCCATTGATCTATCACAACATATCATATTATTTGCCTATGATGTTAATTTCACCTAAAGTACAAATTTGTTTAAAATCGTAATCAAGTGTCTACAAAAAAATTTGAATTTTGAAAAATTAAAAAAAAAAGTTTAAACTTTGGTTTTTCAGCTCAGAAACATTTTCATATTATGTTACGCAAATACTCTGCGCAAATACGAAACTTGCCGATGATTATTTTTTATATAAAAAAAATAAATTTGAAAAATAAATATAATTAATTCCCATTAAAAAATAACTTCTTCAAAAAAGTAAACTTTTATAATAATAACTTCTTCAAAAAAGACAAGATCGTTAATTGAAATTAAGTATTGGTCAGTAAAGTATTTCACAGACTTTATTATATTTTGAAATTACCATAACTGCACCGAGCGACCCGAAAACGTATTTTTATGCTTATTGTAATGTAAATAACCGCAAACTATTTGTTAAAAAGATATACGTGTAATGAAAACAATGCGTTGTTTTCCAGTTTTACTTTTGTCACCCGTATATCAAAGGCCTTCAACTCTTGGGTATCTTGTATATCAGGATACAGAAATTAGTTATATAAATACAAAAAAGTTATTTTAACAATATGTAATAAAGTAATAAATATATGTATTACTAAGTATTAATTTATATAAATGATTTTTGCAATGCATCTTTAAAACTGAATTCAGTCATGTTTGCTGATTGTACAAATCTATTTCTTACAAACAGTGATATCAAGAAGTTATATGCAGATATGAATATTGAACTAAATAAAGTAAATAATTGGTTTAGGGCTAACAAACTCCCACTTAACACAGAAAAAACAAACTATATATTATTCCACAAAAAAATACAAGAAGAAAACCTTCCTCTTAAGTTGCCTGACCTTATATTAAATTAAAGCTTAATCAAAAAACAAGCCAGTATTAGATTCCTATAATGAAAGATACGAAAATGATGGATGTTTTTGAAACAAACATCTATCAGCATTTAATTTTTATGTATCAACTCAATAATAATATCTCTCCTGCAAACTTTAATGACAAGTTTGAAATAAACATAAATGAAAACTATTATCTAAGAACAAATATAAGTAACACATATAAACTGCCTCAAAACATTAATAAATATACTGAATATAGCATTGCATATCGAGGGACAAATATATGGAATAGTTATCAAAAAGGATTTAAATGTATGGCAAAGTCATTAAGTTCATTTAAGTTTCTAATAAAAAAAGAAATTTTTAAAATTTGAGAATCTTTTGTGCTTAAAGGAATCACCAAGGAATTTTATTTATTTTTTAATTTTTTAATATTTTATCTTTATGTGATTTACTGATTAGCGCAGCAGTTTTATGCCCATTAGAGTTTTTAATTTAATACTGTAAGTACTCTATGTAAGGTGTATATAGGGGCTCTATGAAAAGATTGCGATGACGTATTGTCATCTTCATCTTCTTTGAGCCCCTGTCTGTTTAACTCTTTATTTTATAAAGATCATTGTAAAAAGAATAGTGTTTTATTTTATGTCTTCTGTGTCTTCTTTGTTCTACGGACATATTTTTTTTCTTTCTTGAATATATTTTTGTTTGATTATTTATTGTTAAACGGCAAAATAAATGTAAAAAAAATAAATAAATAAATAAAAATTATATCTAAACAATAAATTTTAAAGTTTGTATTACTTACGTCAAGTTCATCTCTTATATTAGAGATAATATCGAATAATTATATAATATCGATAATTATCAAATTCTAAAAGCATCATTTTATGAAACTTTCTCGCAATTGTTTTTAATATAATTTTTTATAACAAATATCTATAAAGTAATTACTTTTTACCATATGTTAACCGTCGACTTAACCAAAAATGTAACAATTGTATTCAAAAAACAGTTATTTTTTAAAATTCTAGTAAAATGTATTTAATAAAAAATATTTACAAAACTTTTACATAATTTTATGATTTAATTAAAATTTTTACATTAACCACAGCATGTATTATTTTTATTATTATTAGCAAAAGCATTTAAGTTAATGTATTTTTTAAATTTTGATACCGTATTCAATCACTTTTTCTTTCCAATCAGGGCCGTCCCGAAATGATCTTAAAGAGGGAGGTGGAGTAATATATCTGTTTTTTGCAAAACGCTCAATTAATTTTTTTTTATAGAAAAAATTAATTAAACATTTTGCAAACTGTTTTACTTCCGGATTTCTGTAGGAGTAAACCAGAGGGTTTAGACATCCATTTATGCACGTCATCCATAAACTGAAAACTCCAAGTTTTGAAACTATACACTCTTCAAAATGTAAGTTATACAAAATTTCTATCATCACTACTGGAAACCATACTAAATACATAAGTCCTATAATAATGAAAATCGTCTTTGCTAGTTTCATTTCTTTTTTTTGCCTGTTTAGATTAATGTTGTTTTCAGTTATTTTCATGAGTTTTTTGAGCAAATTTTGTGAAGCACTTTTCATTTTATAATATAGCCCAGGTAATAACAACAAAGGAGCTATAATATGAAAACTAAGTAAAATATAGTAAAGAGTTGGATTCACGTTCCAAATATACTTATTTTTATGTGCTGGTTGCATAGTAACAGCTGTAACTAAACAACAGATGAAAGAATAAAGCCAAATAAAAATCACAATGACCATATATACTTTTTTTGTAAAAAAAACTTTCCAACTTGATTTACCCGCAATCATAACACAACGTTCAATCGTTATAGCTGTTACTGTAACAAACGGACAAACTAGTGAAAAAATCCATATTAAATTAAGAGCACTCGTTCCCAGACTGCCAATAGGCCATGATGGATAAAAATATAAGTAGACAAGCTCGAGGTTAGGCAAAATGGCTGCTATAGTTATATCTGTAACAGCTAAACTTACAACTAAAATATTTGATTTCAAGTGAAGTTTTTTATTGAAGGAAACGGCAAAGCAAAAGAATGCATTTTCAATAAATGCTACTACAGAAGTTGAGCCAAGAAGAAAAAATAATGTTACTTTGTATGTCTCTTCAAATATGCAAATAGTTTCATTTTTAAATTCTGTTCGATTCATTTCTAACCAAAATCGACCAATAAAAATATTGAATTAATTATAAATGGATTATAACGATTATTTTTAACAACAAAAACATATTGTGCTATATATCGCAATATCGCATCATGACTTCAATTTTTGACCAATTTTTCTTTAATTTTTCTTTAAGACAAAGTAAAACATTATTAATTATTGGTTGCTATGTTGTTCCACATTGTTTTAAAAAGTTATGAATAATTATTGGCTATAATTCCGAAAACATAAGTTGTTTTAAAAGCTTCCATTGTTTAAGTTTTTTTTATATACGAGTGTTTATTTATAATTATTAAAAGACTTGAAATTTTGAAAATCTATAAAACTAAACTGGCTTTTTAACAATAATTGTATAAAAATATATATTCTTATTCAAAGTAAGAAAAAGTATATATAAATAAATTATTAAGTAATTAATTAATGAATAATAGTATATTACGGATGTAAATTTTTTTGTCATTCCGATTCCCGCTGGAATTACAATACAAATTATTTTGCTACAGGGCAAATAAAAAATTATTGTCCTACAAAGAACTAGGTAACTAGAGCTAGAATAGGTAAAAAGTAAAAATTTCACTAACAAATATGTAATTTTATTTGCAGTAATCAAAAACGTAAGGATTTCTAAAAATTTAGGAACATTGTGATATGAAAAGAATTGCTATCTAATTTTGGGCATAAAACTAGCTCTATTTTCATCAAAAATGTTACCAGCTTCTGAGAATAGTCTCATTTTAAATGTTGCTAAAATTTTAAATAGTTAAAAATGTAAAGGATGCCTAATACAGTATATATTTCAATTTTAACCTAAATGGAAAAATAGAAAACTAACAAATAATTTTGAACATAAATATTATGCAGAGTATAACTTTCAATATATAAAATTATAAGAAACAAATAAAATTAACATTTTTATTATTATTATTATTTTTAACAACAATCATTATTATATATTTCAAAAACAAATAACATTTACATGTATCCAGTTTTTATAAATGTCCACCACAAATATTTACAATATATAAAAAGCGTTAACAAGTTACATATTAAATTTAAATGAAACGAGAATTTTTAATTAATTTTACTTTCAATCTTGAATTCTTGTTTTGTCCAGAATTTTATTATCAATTCCAGAAAATTTGATTCGGGTCGTAATTCAAAATTTCCATTCCGGTACACCCCTAGTATATATTGATAAATATAACAAGCCGCTTTGGAATGTTATACGATGAAAAACAAGTTGCATCAGTTGTATCAATGTTATTAAATTAACGTCCAACCAGTGCTATGTGTTTGCATCCCCAGCAAGAGCCCTGGTTTCCTTAGTTGCACAAACATAGAAGTCTCCACTGCAGAATATAGCTTTACTAAAAAGGAATCTGTTGCTTTGGTATTGGCCATTGAAAAGTTACATTTTTATTTGCATGGAAAAAGCTTTAAGATTTTAGCGGAACACACCTCTCATTTTTTCTTCCGGCTCTAAAAAATTGACGTATTGTAATATGGTAAATCAAATTGCAGACATACGATTTTGACGTAATATTTCAAAAAAAAAGGAGAGAACATTGCAGAACATCTCTAGAAACTGTCCAAATAAAATACATAGTGAGTCCAAATGAAATACATAGTGAGATAAATGAAAATAAAGTAGCAGCGTATGTAAATTACTTAGTAACAAAAATGGCACCCAAATCAATATCAATCGAAGATATAAATATGGAACATAAAGCACATTAAAATTACATTTTTAAATACACAAGCAAACAGTATATATATTTTTATCTTTTTTTTCATATATTTTTACAACAACATAGTTTTAACAATATATACTTTTATTACAAATAGTTTTAACAATATATACTTTTATTACAAATACAATCAAAATGCTTCAAAAATAACTGAAATAATATTATGATATATTTGATGTTACAAATTAATAAAACAAAGTGTAATAGTTTTACATTTTATATTTTGAAAAGAGCCTTAAAATAGGAAAATGTCTTATGAAATAAGTCTTAAAAAAGGAAAAAAAAGCCTTTGGTTATGCTGTGTGAAGTCATCGAGAACTCTGTAGTTATGCTGTGTGAAATCATCGAGAACTCTTTAGTTATGCTGTGTGAAGTCTTGTCATCGAGAACTCTTTTTTTTTAAAATAGTTTCATGAAATACTCATAACTATATTATTCTTTTACTTATTATACTTTTCAATATATTTATTACTTATTATACTTTTCAATATATTCATTACTTATTATACTTTTCAATATATTTTCAATAAGTCATGTTATTAAGAAGAAGCATAGCATAAACATAAAATATAACTGCTTGTATCTGAATTGTATCTGATAAGATTAGCTTTTAAGGAATTTATATTTTCAGGAGGGATATAGAGGAATTTTTTGGTATTAATTTGTTATACATGTAAGGTCCACGATATGTTATAGGGAATTGGAATAGTTTTCTTTTTTTCAACGGTACTATATAGCTTCCAGTTACTCTAGTGCTAAATTTATATAATTTAGATTTAAAAAGTTATTTATAAATCGACCTAGAACAGTTTCCATTTTATGTTTGAACATAAACAAAATATTTTGATATATATATGGATTCGGTAAATATTTAAAGCATTCATATGTTGTAGTAATGGGTTTGGATGAGTAAGCTTGTCTTTATAAAATATAATTCTTGAAGCGAGTTTTTGCCGTCTATAGAGAGAACATAATTTAGTTTTATGGGTACTTGCCCATGATATAAATTATACATGCCATGCTTCGAAATTATAAATGCGCACCCCATGCTAACAGGGACGGTTACAGAAACTTTTTATTTAGTTATTTATTTTTTACCTACTTTTGTTATAAAAAGACTTTAGTACCCCCGTCATTTAAATAATTTGTTTTAAATATATTTCGACGTGATTATTCAAATAAATTTTTTCGTTTGACTTCTCCAAGCAAATTGAGACAAAATATCGTCTAACCAAATAAAAATGTTGTTACTAATTTTATACGGGTAATTAATGTAAAACATTTATTTATCAGAGTCTTATAATTGAGATAATAATTTTATACGGGTAATTAATGTAAAACATTTTTTTATCAGAGTCTTGATTGAGATATTAAATATTCATAATTTATAAACATATGTCGCAATAACAATTTATAGCAACGAACCTGCATAAAATACTTAAGGTTTTTAATATCTTTTTTAATATTAAAATTAGCAAAAAAAAAAAAAAACTAAACAAATAACCAAAAAAACTTTGACTAAAAATAAATAAAAATATTTCCAGAGTTTCTTTTGTTATAAGTCTACCTGTGACGTCAAATACTAAAACTTTTATGAATTAAACGCGCTTCAAAGGAATTGCTAAAGTCTGTAGATTGCGACGCATAATTTGAAGTTGAAAAAAATGGAGAAGACGAGCTTAGGCAAAAACAACAACATTTGTTTTTCACGGTATGCATTCATTATTTATTTTTAATCAAAAAAATTTGGTTCAAACCTTTTTTTTTAACATTATCTTTAATATGAACACAACATGTGTTGGGAGTTTGGGATCCCTTTAAAACAGCGCCTGCATACAACAATATTTCCAAAAAATGCATACTATGTCTACAAGTAAAACTTCAAATACTTACACATGCGAACCAAGAATGTTTGTTAAACAAAAAATCGGAATTGATTTCTAAATGCAGGCTCAAAAATAAGTTAATCCTAAAAAACTATAAAAAATAAGTGAGCTCAAATAATAGTTACATTAAATCCCTCCCTTTTTTAAAAATATTTTTATAAAAAAAAGCAAAGTATTCATTTCTAAAGAATTCTTTTTATAATAGTGTCAGTGAACTCCACAAATGTGTGAAAATTTACAGTAGTTAAAACATTTGCGACTTCCTGTAATTAAATTTTTTTTTGGTATAAATTGAAGTTTTATTAATTTGATCATTCATTTCTGATGTCTTTTGATTTTCTATTCACCTCTTGTATGGTTGCTTTTGGTAAGCTATAGAAGCATCTAATATGACAAAAAAAGAATTTTTGTGAAAATAGAGCGGGTTAGCACCCTTGATTCTAATGCGTTTATGCACCTTTGATTCTATGATCAAAGGTGCATACACACACACACACAAAATGTTTTTATATACATATATATATATATATATATATATATATATATATATATATATATATATATATATATATATATATATATATATATATATATATATATATATATGTATATATATATATATATATATATATGTATATACATATATATATATATATATATATATATATATATATATATATATATATATTATATATATATATATATTTATACATATATATACATAAATGTATATATATATATATATATATATATATATATATATATATATATATATACATATATATATATATATATATATATATATATATATATATATATATATATATATATATATATATATATATATATATATATATATATATATATATATATATGTGTATATATATATAAGCATTTATAAACTACTGCATTAAACTCTCACTATTAGATAGTGGGAATTGGCTTTCATTAATTTGCTGATACTTATTTCATTGCTCAATATTGGGCGTTGTTCAGTTATGGTTCTATTTTTTCTTTCGTTATCTCTATCAATTGCCGTGACCTGAAAGCTGCCTTAATACTTTTGTTAGTAGAGATTTCAAACTGAATGAATACAACGTATTTCGCGGACTATTATCGTAAAATAATAAGCTTTTACTAAAACATTTGATTATTAAAAGGTCATTATAGGTATTAAAAGTTAATTATCTATAATGACCTTTGTTTCCTTCCATGTATTGAGTAGGGGAGAACTTGCACCCTTGATCCGTAAGTACCTTTGATCCTATAGCGTTATCTCCATACTTACATAACTTATTAAAGAGGGCTGATGACCAGCGTGTTATAAATGTTGTATCGTCAAAATTAATTGTGTTTTTGTTAAAGAACAGACCACTATTAAATTTATTTTTAAATAGCTTTGATTTTGACGACAAAAGTAATTTTCTTACTTTTACAAAAACCACACATCTTTAATATTTTTTCAAGTTGAATAATTTTGCTTATGTCATATTGTAACTTAACTATTCACCTCTTGTATGGTTGCTTTTGGTAAGCTATAGAAGCATCTAATATGACAAAAAAAGAATTTATGTGAAAATAGAGCGGGTTAGCACCCTTGATCCTAATGCGTTTATGCACCTTTGATCCTATGATCAAAGGTGCATACACACACACACGCACACACAAAATGTTTAACTTTTAAAATAACATGTACATTACGTCATATTGTTTTTTAATATATTTTTTTCTTCTAAAATAAAGCCTTAAAATGAAGATTTTATACTATTTTGTATTTTTTTGTTCTCCTAAAAATTTTATATAATACAATTGTAAAGTATTCAATATATATATATATATATATATATATATATATATATATATAATATATATATATATATATATATATATATATATATATATATCTGTGTGTGTTTGTTAATAAAGAAGACTTTAGTAAGTAAAAATCTTTATAAATGTTTAGCCAAAATTTAGGAATATAGCAAAACTATAAAAATGTGTTTCATTTTTTACAGTTGAATATGGTGTATCATAAAAAAAGAAAAATCGATAGACCACCTAAGATAAAGTTAATGAGAATGATATGCGAGCAGCTGTTAATGCAGTTCTTAATGGTGGTACAGTTTATCGTGTATCTAAAGAGAAAGGAATCATTTTAATGACACTTAAGAGATATGTAAGGAAATGTCAGTTAAATCCAAATACAGTCTGAAAACCTAACTTCATTACCATGCAAATTTACCAACAAAGAAGAAACATCTTTATCAGATTATCTTTTAAGGGCCTCAAAACTTCACTATGAATTTTCAACCGAAACAACACGAAAACTTGCCTATGAATTTGCAATGACTCTTTCTAAGCGCATTCTTAAATCGTGGAAAAGTTTACAAATTGCTGGGAAAAAGTGGCTTTGTGGTTTTATGTTACGTAGGAATGAGTTATCTTTACGAAATCCAGAAGCTACTGGTATGGCACGAGCAACTGCTTTTAATTGTTATACAGTCGGAAAATTTTTCACCAATCTAAAAGATATTCGTCTACGACACAAGTTTTAGTCACAAAACATATATAATGTTGATGAGACAGGTCTCACAACTGTTCAAAAACCAGTTAAAGTAATTTCTAAAAAAGGAGATAAACAAGTTGGAAGGATAACTTTGGCAGAAAGAGGGACATTAGTAACAGTTTGTTGTGCAGTTAATGCAATAGGAAACTCAATCCTCCATTTTTTATTTTTTCAAGAGTTCATTTCAAAAGAAGTATGATAAATGGTGGTCCACCTGGATGTGTTGGGGTTGCAAACCCATCTGGTTGGATGAATGTTGCAATCTTTTTAGAGTGAATGAAACATTTTATTCAAAATTTGAAATGTTCACCAGCTAATCCAGTGCTTTTACTTCTTGACAACCACGAGAGCCATGTTTCAATTGTGTTTTTAGATTTAGCTAAAATAAATTACATAACTATGCAGTCCTTTCCACCACATTGTAGTCACAAGTTGCAGCCATTAGATCGGTCAGTTTATGGGCCACTTAAACGTTATTACAATGCAGCCTGCGATGATTGGATTGTATCTAATCCAAGACCGATGACCATATATGATATAGCTTCAGTTGTAAGGAAAGCCTATGCACAAGCTTTTACTTTGTCTTACATTTCTGCAGGATTGGCTGTAGCAGAAATTGAACCTTTTAATCCAAACATATTTTCTGATAATGAGTTTTTGTCTTCATATGTAACAGATTGTCCAGAAACTATTACTGCTAACCCATTTCCAGGTGTTGTTGCTCCAGTTTCTGCTAGTGTTTATGCCCCAGCTTTTAATCAATCATTGATGTCAAGTCTGTCATCTGGTTCAGCTTGTAGTGTATTGCCTATTCAGCCTATATCTGACCCTGGAAGTTAAGTATCCAGTGTTTCTAATAATATCTCTCATCAAGCAAGTCTAGAAAAAATTAGGCCATTTCCAAAAGCTGGATCAAGGAAATCCATTAAAGGACGTAAACGTCAGCGTACTCGAATACACACAGACACTCCTGTTCGAAATGAGTTAAATAAGCTTCAGGAAATAAAAAAAAAATCTCGAACAAAAAAGAAAAAACCTGAAACGCAAAATAAGATCTTCATGACAAGAAAAAGAAAATTTGATTTTGAAAGTAATGAAAATAAAATGTTGAGTCTCAGTAAAAAAATAACATTTTTTTCATTAATTTTTACTTTTTTAAGAAAGATAAATTTGCAGTAAAACTAATAATAACTTTATTAGTTTTTATTATAGACATTGTTTTGATGACTTAACAAAACAAAACAAAACAAAAAAATTTTTTTTTTGAAAAGTTTTTAAATTGTTATCAGTCTTCTTGATGACAACAATTTAAAATTGATTACATTTATATTTAAACATATTACAGTTATATACACTTTTGATATATACACTTCTGATAAAGCTGCAAGCAACCACCTATAAAATTGGAAGTTACTGGAAGAAAAAATATGAAATTTAAGAAGCAAGATAACAATTAAAAGACAACTTAAAAGATTAAAAACTATATGAATCTATAAAACTGAATCTATGAAACTATAAAAATTCCAAAGAACTGATGTTCGAGAAAAAAAAAAATTCAATCCCTAAAAAAAAAAAGGATTCAATCCGTAAATGTTGAATTAAAAGGATTTCATTACCTTTACCACTTCATCTCGTGATACAATCTGTTTCAAAATATATTACAACTACTTTTTCTGTAAATGTTGAACTAAAAATACTTCTTTTACTTCTTTTTTTTCATAACTCAAAAATTTTATATTAAAATCTGAATGTTTTTGTAAAAAACTGATAATATAAGTGTAAAGAATAACTAAATTAATAATGTTGGCTCAAAAGAGCTATAATTATACTAGTCTATAACAAAATAAAAAAATACATAAAGTACATATAGTATAATACAAAACGTATATGTATATATAAATTATGTATAGTATAATACAACACGTGTATGTATAAAAAAATCATATTAACATAACATTCACCCTTCTCTTAATAGTGTTCAGTTGTATTTATAAGTTGAGTTTTTCTGGTGCTTTAAAAATCCGAGAAGATCTACGAGAAAGAAGGTTGATTGGCTTTATCAGATTTATTTTGATTTCTAGTTCGTTTTCTGAAATTAAAGGAGTTTTATTGCTACCATTAGGGGTTAAGGGATAGTTATCAATAGCTGTTACATCTAAACTGTTGTTTGATTTTTGTACTAAAGGAGTTATTTAGTAGACACTGTACTCACAACAGCTATTAAGTAGACAATGTAGTCTTATGATCATTAGGAAATCTCACATAGGCATAATGAGGATTTGTTTCAATGAGCTAAACCTCATTTACTGAATCTTCATATTTACTTTGCATCGTATTTCTTTTTATAAGTACAAGTCCTAGGTTAAAGAAATGAGGACCCAGATGATGATCTTATTTGAAAATTGAAAAGACGTTCGTGTGGACTAAAATTAGTAGAAGTACATAATCATGTAGAGAGATCATGTAGCATGAAGTGTATCAGGTAAATCTCTTTTCCAGGATGATTTAGGCAGATTTTGATATTTCAGAGTGAGTAATATCGAGTTTCAAATAATTCTATTTTATCTTTCAATTTGCCCATTTCCAGTCGGATTGTAAGGGGTTGTTCTGCTAGTTGCGATCCCTTTTGATAGGAACCAGTGCTTTAATTAAGAAGACATTAATGAGGTTCCACGATCCGAATGGACATAGCTAGCCATACCAAACATGGAAAAAAGATCAGTTAAACAGTTTATTATTGTCTGAGTTGTCATATCTTTTACAGAATAAGCAAATGGAAAACGTGAGTATTCGTCTAGAATTGTTAGCATATATTGTTCAGGGGTTGAAAAAGGTAATGGACCTTTGAAGTAAATAGATATACGTTCAAATGGCTGAGTTGATTAAATTAGGAGCACATCATTTGGGAGATTTTTTTTATTTGGGTTTTATTTCTTTACATATTCTTCAATTTCTACATATTTGTTTTACATCTTCTGCTAAATAAGGGAGATTTCTTGATCGGATAAAATGATGGAGGCGAATAACACCAAGATGGCAAAGTGCAGTATGCAAATCATATAATGATTCTGAACTTATTGCTGCACATCTAACACGAGTAAATCTATCTGGATCACTATTACATTGGCCACGACGATCATGGATATCATATGGAGACAAAGACATTCTCCAACGCATTATCTTATCATTCTTTATTTTACTGCTTGATTTATAATCATACATAAACGCCACAGATCATTAGTCAGTAATAAGAATGAAATGCGACCCAAAAGAAAATGGCACCAATAATTTATGGCTTTGACTATCGCTTGAGCTTCTTTTTCCACTGATGAATAGTATTGTTCACTCCCTTGAAGGATTCGTGAATGGAAGGCAACAGGTCTTCCATCCTGGTTAAGTGTAGCAGATATGGCAAAGTCAGAAGCATCAGTCTCCACAATAAAAGGTATACTCTTATCAATGGTTTGCATGGAAGATTGAACAAGCTCATTTTTTTAAATGTTTTAAATGCTGATATTTGCTGTTGATTGAGTGGAAATTGTGTAACAGAGTTTAAAGGTATAATTTAATCTGAAAACTTTCTTATCCATTTTGCATAGTACGAGAACATTCCGATAATACGCTGTAAAGGTAGGGGTAATTTAATGAGAGGAGCAAGTCTCTGAGGATCTAGTTTTAAGAAGCCATAAGATATACGGTAACCTAAAAAATATAAAGTCTCTGTTAAAAATACATACTTCTCTTCATTAAATGTAATTCTAGCATCAATGGCAGCTAATCTGAACTTAAGTAGATTTTCATCATGTTCTTTCTGATTATTACCACATACTGTAATGTTATCAATGAAAGAAAAGCAGTCAGTTAGCTTATATGTTCAAACAATCAATCAAGTTATCTATTTTGCGTTGAAAACATGCAGATCCATTGGTAACTCCAAAAGGCATTCTAGTATATTGCCACCACCTATTGTCAGCTTCATATGGTCGATCTTTTTTTAATAAAGATATTTGATAGTATGCTGAGCGAAGGTCGAGAGTACTATAAGTTTTGTATTTGTAAATGCTTACAATCGTTTCAATCTTAGATAGAGGATATGCGTCCAAATGGGTATAGTTCTTAATAGTTTCAGAATAATTAACAACCATGTGACGTATAGTCTTTTAATTTATTACTAAGACCTGGCCACGCCAAAGTGAATTACTAGGCTCTATTATTCCTGCTTAGACCAGGCAGTGGATTTTAGATTTAATAAAATCTCTATCTCTTTGAGAATACTTTTTAGATCTAACAGCAATCGGTCGACAATCTTTCGTAAAATTAGCAAATAATTCAGGAGTTAAGTTTTGTTGTTGTTAAAGCTGTGAATGTTATGGGTGGTCTTTTCCCACTATGTTTAATAGTAATACTCTCATGCAAATTTTGAAAATCTGTGTCAAGAATAATATCTATACATAAGTTATCTAGCACATGCAACTTGACTTTGTCATAGATTTTGTTTGGAAGAGTTATTAAAAACATAACAATATCCATCTGATTTTGCTGATAAAGAAGCTAATGCCAAACCAATTACACTCTGTTCATAAATATCCTTTAAATTTAGTAGAGCCAATAGTTTATTGTTAACAAAACTTTTGTTTGTACTCCCACTATTAATTAAAGCTTCTGCTTTATACTTATCATTAACAATGATGACAGACTCTGAAGAGAGAGTTCGCTGAAGCTAATATGGTGGCACAAAAGTAATTATTATCAATTTTAGAAATAGCAACAGAAACATTAGATGACCTGCAAAGTTTTTCAAAATGAACAATCTTTTTACATTTGTGACAGATAGCTTCATGAGCAGGACATTGAGTACGTGGGTGTCTTATGTTTCCACAAAACCAGCACAATTGTTTTGAATTTTTTGTAGCTGCTAAGTGATTATCAGTCGTGGGTTGTTTTTGTACAGATGATTTGATTTCCTGAATAAAGGCAGAGGTACGTATAGTCAATTGTGAGTATAAGTTTGAATTTTATTGGGCCACGTCTAAAGATATAACTTGGTCAAATGCTGAAGAAAGGTCTAGTATCTTGTTTCTAGTAAACGTTGGCGTATAATGTTGGAGAGTACGCCATTTATAAACGCATCGCGAATCATTTCAGATTTATATTGCTCAGCGCTAACAGCAGTAAACTTAAAGTCCTTACATAAATTTTTTAAATTCATTTAGGAATTGATCTCTTGATTCACTTGGTTTTTGCTTCCGTGTTGACAAAATGTGTCTGGCAAATATTTCATTCTTTGGTTTTATGTAGATAGACTCAAGACATAAAAGAAAAAAAAAGAAAAAAAAAAATTACTGGAAAACAATTTACCTGCTTTTGATAACCTGTTGTCATACTTAAGTTGCTGTCATGATACAGCAGTTCTTGTCAGTGTTGTTTAATGACGTTATTTCATGTTGGCTTTTAGTAAACTTTAGTTTAATTTAAAAGACATCACAATAGATTTAAAATATTTAAATTAAAAAGCAAAATACAAAATGCTTCAAGGAGCCAAACTATAAACATAAAAGATAAAAAATCAAATTGAGATATAAATAAATTGATTTATATTGCTAAATATATTGTCTTGGTTTAAAAAAAAAATTTAAAAGCAGTGAGTTAAATAAATTAAAATATCAATTAATTATTTTTAACAATAGAATATAGCATCATTATATTATTATAATTGGATAATGAATCAATTTAACTTTAAGTTTAATTGGTGAAAAAACAATTAAAATTTTAATTAAAAACAAAAACAAATCAAATATACAATATTAAAAAAAAAAAAAATTACAAATTAGGAAAAATTATAATCTGAAATAGTATTACTTCTTGCTATACAATAGTATTACTTCTTGCTATACAATTAACATTTCCATTTTCTTAACAAATATCTGCTTCTAACCTAATATCATCAATTTAAACTTGACTTTTAATTGAAAATAGTAACAAAAAATCTTAAAAAGAAACTTGAGGGTTGTGATCTTTTTTATATTATTTTTTTTTCTACTCTAAATAGCACACACAAATAATTTTTAAATATAAGAAACTGTCTACAAAACTTAACAATATTTTGTTCTTCTATAGTACATAAATACATCATTTGATAAATCTAAAATAAAAAATGTAACAAATAAGTAAAAAAATAAAAAAAACATTACATACAAAAAACGGAAATCTTTTTACCTGATAGAGAAAAGCTGTTGTGATTTACCAGAGTAGTAGTAGTAGGCTTTTAGTGAATATATATAATACAGAGTAGTAGGCTTTTAGTGAATGATTAAAAGCAATGAGGTCTAATAATGAAATTACCTATACATCATTTTTAACAATAGCAACAACTTGAAGGTAAGCTAAATGTATATCAACTCAAAAGATTACAAAAAAACAACATCACAACAACAATAGCCACCACAAGTTCATATAATATGCATATAACATAACTTAAGAAACATAACATTCATATATAACAGATTATAAGTAACAACATTACGTAAAATGTTATTAAGATACATTATTATGTATTTTCAGAGTAATTATTAATAAAGGCTTGAAAACACCTAGACCTAAAGCAGTTACAGTTTGAGACAAAACACTGCTGCGTAACACTCTGCAGTAAGTAAATGACTTGGCTGGCAAGATTGACAAATCTTGCTTTACACGTTTACCAAGTCACTGCACTTTGAAAACATATATAAACATATTTAAACACATTTATAAAACAATTATATAACTTATATTGACACATATACAAACAATAAAAAAACATGTTACATTATTATAAAAACACATTGATAAAAAAGCTATAAAGCACATTTTACAATATACAGATAATTATCGAAAAAGCAATGCAAACAATAAACATATAACTTGAATTGTGCAAAATTTTAAAAATGGCATGAGAAAATTTTAAAAGATTTAAAGTAAACAAAATATAAATATTTATATACAAACAATCCTTTTTTTTTCATAAGAACTGTAATTCTCATAACAAAAATTTAATCTTTACATGCAATAACATGTGACATGTCAGTAGTGGCACGAAATTTCAATTTATTATTCTAAATTTTCTAAAAAAGAGCAAAAACAGTTAATAGCATCACAGAAATTTCATGGTAGTAATAACCAATTTTATTGAAATAGCATTTGTGTAACTTTTTTGTTGCATAAAAAATAATTAGACCTCATCTTCGTTCAAAAAAATAAAAGATATGCTCAATACAAACTGCAAGAAAAAAATTAAGCCAAAAGAAAAACTAAAGCAAACAAAATGTAAACGATTTAAAAAATTAAAAGGAGTGATCCTTTTTACTTTATTTTTAATAAAAAATATTATATATAAATTGCGAAACTATTTTCAATGCTTATATGATCTTAACGATGATTATTATAATATGATCTTAACGATGATTATTTATCTTAATATGATTCTTTATGTAATATTTCTAAACTAATCTTAATATCAACTCAATTCTAAAGGTAAAAAGTTTTAACTCGGTTGAAAGATCTTCCTCTAATAACCGCGTGCATTTTGAGAACGCGCTGTTTCAAGTTCAGAAAAGCCTAGTAACTAATTAAAACTGCTTTAAAAACGAAAGCGAAACGACATTGAACATTGAATTTTTACACTATTAATAGGCCGGGTGAATAAAAACGAGCAATTGCTTTTACTCAGTAATTGGTCAGCTTTACGTGAATAAAAGCTAAATAAATTTTTCCTAAGTTTTTATTTACGTAAAGCCGAACAGTTACTAAGTAAATTGGTTAACTTTACGTGAATAAAAATTTGAGCAAAACTCTTAATGTTTTTATTCTCGTAAAGCTGACCAATTAACGAGTAAAAGCAATTGCTCATTTTTATATCACCCTACTATTTAGAGATTATATAATTAAAATTAAAACTGTTTAATTAATAAGTAATTTAAGCTGCACTATGATTTCTAAGACCCGAAATTTTGGCATAAATTAACAACTTCATTTTAAACACAAAATAACTAATGATTTTTATTTCTTAGGATAGGTAAAATGTTCTAAACGTGTTATAGCTAAACTTTGTATGATTAATATATATATATATATATATATATATATATATATATATATATATATATATATATATATATATATATATATATATATATATATAT